GTTGAAAACAATAATTTTGCGGGCCGCCTCCCTTTTATTGTAGTGGGTGGTTCCCTTCCCAGCCTTCTGGGTTTAGATTGGTTCACCTCTCTGGGCCTTGGCATTTCTGGCATACACTCCATGTCGGCAGGAGATTGCGATGCTCTGTATATGGAATTCACTGATGTCTTCAGCGGATCCTTGGGTAAATATGTTGGTTCCCCTATTTCCCTAAATTTGGACCCTCAGGTAGCTCCTATTCGCCTCAAACCAAGGTGAGTTCCCCTGGCTCTCCACCCAAAAGTAGATGCGGAGCTGGATAAACTCATCTCCCAGGGTGTATTAGAGCCCACGGATCATTCTAAGTGGGAAACTCCAATTGTAATTCCAATCAAACCTGATGGGTCTATTCGCATTTGCGCCGATTTTAAAAGTACCCTAAATAAGGCTTTACAATCTAACCCATATCCTCTTCCTGTAGTCCAACAATTACTGCACATTCTGGGTCCTGGGTCCATTTTTGCCAAGTTAGATTTAGCTCCGGCCTATCAGCAGCTCCCGGTGGATGATGCCTCTGCTGAGCTCAGACCATCGTGACCCACCGTGGAGCTTTTAAGTGCCGGCGTCTACAATTCAGCATTAGCATCGCACCTGGCCTTTTTCAAAATTTAATGGAACGTCTGTTATTTGGGTTACCTAGAGTTGTCCCATACTTTGATGATGTTCTCATCTCGGAGTGAGCTCATCAAACATGTGTGGACGGTTTTACTACGGTTCCGAAGTGCTGGACTCAAGTTGAAAAAGAACAAATGTCTCATTGGTGTGCCTAAGGTTGAGTTTTTAGGGTATCTCATAGATGCCTCAGGCATTCACCCCACCCCTTCAAAGGTGGCAGCCATCAAACATGCCCCCGTCCCCACCAGTAAATCCAAGTAACAAGCATATTTTGGGGTTATTAAATTTCTACAATGTATTTCTTCCCCATAAAGCTAGCGTCGCTGAGCCTCTCCACCGGCTCCTAGACAGGAACTCACCGTGGGTTTGGACCCCGGCTGAGAACCGCTCATTCCAAGCTATAAAGGATCTGCTCACATCCTCGGCTGTTCTGGTCCAGTGCACACCAGACCTTCCCCTTACCTTGACCACCAATGCTTCCCCATATGGCATAGGGGGTGTATTGAGCCATAAGCTTCCTGATGGTCGGGAAGCCCCCATCGCATACTATTCTAGGACATTGTCCTCCACTGAGCACCGGTATAGCCAAATTGATTGCGAAGCATTGGCCGCTGTGCCCTCTGTTAAGTGTTTTCATGACTACGTATATGGCCATCCATTTGAACTAGTCACGGACCATAAGCCATTCTTGGGTCTGTTAGCTGGGGATAGGCAAACCCCCCAAATTCTGTCTCCCAGGATGTCTCGTTGGGCAGTGTTTTTATCGGCGTATAATTACACTTTGCGCTATCGGCCGGGCAAATTGATAGCCCATGGCAACGCTTTGAGTCGCTGCCCATTACCAGTGTCCGTCCAGGACCCTGCCCCCGCCTCGTCTGTCCTCCTCATTGAAGAGTTACAAATCCCTATTTCCGCGAGAGATATAGCAACTCATTCGGCTAAGGATCGCACCCTTTCGCAGATCCTTGACTGGGTAAAGAGGGGATGGCTTGATGGCCAAATTACTGAGGTTTTCCTGCCCTTCCGATTATGAAAACAGGAGTTGTCTGTCCATAGGAGTTGTTTGTTGTGGGGAAATAGGGTGGTGATTCTGGACACATTGCAAACCCCGGTTCTAGAATGCTTGCATGAGAGCCACCCTGGTATCGTTAGGATGAAGGGCCTTAGTCGGAGTTACGTGTGGTGGCCCAAAATAGATCGAGACATTACGGCGTGGGTTACCAATTGCCAGAAATGCCAGCAGTCTAGACCTTTTGAACCAGCTTCCCCCCCTCAAGAATGGGAATCCCCGAGGGGCCCTTGGTCACGCATTCACCTGGACTTTGCCGGGCCGTACATGGGACACACCTTTCTTGTCGTGGTGGATGCCTATTCAAAATGGGTAGAGCTGGTGAGCATGACGTCCACCACCACGGAGACCCTGATCCAGGTGTTGCGCGGAATGTTTGCCACCCATGGTATGCCTGATATTTTACTTTGGGACAATGGCCTGCAACTAATGTCCGCCACTTTCCAGCTGTTTTTAGCATCATTAGGGATTCGCCATTCCCGGGTTGCCCCATTCCATCTGGCGGGGAATGGCCTGGCTGAAAGGGCCGTGAGATCAGCCAAGGAGGCTTTGGCAAGGCTAAGTCCAGGCGGGTGGCCAGAAAGGGTAGCAGCCTATCTGCTGTCCCAACATTTGACACCGTGCTCTTCCACAAACCGAAGCCCAGCCGAAATGCTGATGGACCGTCGTCTGAGAACAACTTTGGACCGAATGCATCCCGATTACTCACCTGAGTTCCCCATTAAGGGTCCCGGACCATCTAGAACTTTCAAGGAGGGAAGCCCTGTCTATGCGCAGAATTATGGGGGCGAGCCGCGATGGTTACCGGGCCGGGTAATCAAAGTAACAGGTCCCTGTTCTTACAGGGTCCAGCTCAAAGACGGCCGAACGTGGCAGTGCCACGTGGATCAACTGCGCAGAAGGTTGTTAGATGAACTGTTGGTAGGAGGAAGGAGTCTCTCTGCAGACTTTTTCCGATGTGGCAACCCCAGATATAACAACAAGAAGACGTGCAGCCCCATCTCCATTAACCAGGGCAAACAACGACGCAGACCACAATTCCGAAGTGGCTAGCCCACCGCCAGACTCACCTGAAGGAGCAATTCCAGCCAAAGTTCAAGATGAGCTGTCATTCCAATGCCCGGCGGAGCCTCATTCCGAAGGGCAGGCCGCTGACCCCGAATTGCGACGTTCGGGGTGAATACGCAGGCGTCCGCGTACCTTGCAGACTATGCATGCGCCATCCAGGGGGAAAGAGGTGTTGTGTCGGCGCGTTACCATAGCGATGGAAATGCCTGCATCTGATTGGTTGGGACGGGGTTATGCTAGGCGCGGAAGGTTACTCGTTTCCTGATTGGTTAATGCTGTTCTGTTTTGCCAAGTATAAAAAGGTGAGCTGTCAGATAGACTGACAGTTCAGTGTTCTAATGTTTTGCTGCTGCCTGAAATAAACCGATGTTACATTTACATCCTCACCTCAGTTAATGACTATAATCGAAACACAACATCACCCATATGTGCAAAAGAAGGGAGGCTGTGTCCTACAGACCCCTCTATTCCCATACTTCCATGGGCTTCACTCATCCACTCTAAACAGTACAAGAAGAGGTGCTTTCTTTCTGTTAATGCCACCACTACCTTCTATGTTCTCATTAGAAGTTCTGAGCTTTCTTTTGAAAGACATAGAAAGAAGAAAGCAAATGAAAGCAATGATATCTGTACATACTTTGTCCAGGGGAGCTTTGTTATACAATGTGATTTAATAAGAAAAAGAAGGCAATCCTGTATTAATTTACTTGACTCCAGAGATTCCAGGTGTCCCAATCATTTTATTCATCACATTGGGTGATATCTGTCAGCCCAAGGGCATTTATAGAGAGAAGGGCTCACAAAGGCCAAGTTAGTAGCTGAGCTATGCAGTCAAATTCCCATTCTTTTTTTTTTTTACATACAGTGCACATTTAAGAAAAGAGAGGACTTTAATTATGACAGCTGACATCTTAATTTTTTTGACCATTTGCCACCTCCACCCCCCACCCCCCAATGACCAAGGCTCCTATATCCTCCTCTAGAAAAGATGGATTGAGCGGCAAATCAAGTTCCATTACATTTTAATTTGATATTTTAATTAGATTATTTTAAAGGACTGTATTGTTATTCTGAACACAGTATTTCTATAACATTAAAACTCAGTGAATTTTGATTGCATTCTTATTTTTAGTCCTTGAAGAATTCTTACAAGTTCTTAATGGCTTAAGTTATTTTTCTGATTATGCTCATTCATGATTTATTAAACCACTCTCAAGGGGGTATTTCACAAACATCTGCAGTTGCATCCAGATTAATGCTGGTTCCACTTATTTCTCTTTTACATAAATTAAATACAAGTGATAACTAATCTGGATCATAACTAACTAAATTGAACTAGTTTGGATCCAATCCACTGTCAAGAATCCATCACCTTTAGCTTTTTATAGTCAATTAATATTAATTGTTAAACACAAAATGACATTGATTTGTGAAATAGTTGCAAGCTTCCTTGAACATCTGTGGTTATAGTGAATTATAACAGAAATAGCAATTATTAAAAATTTTATAGTACAAATAGCAAAGACTCCTTAATCAAGTGAGTTTTTGAGCTTCTCCCGGACTTTGTCCAGAACTACCATATTTTAAAATTTTAGATAGAAGATTATAATTCAAGATTTTTTTTTCACATTGGATGTTCCTTCCAATCAATCAATTACAGTAATTATAAACATTTAGGTACCTGAATCAACATTACCTGATGTGGATAAATTGATAGACATACAGTACATACATATATACAATTGTCTTTGTAGTAGATATTTAGTGTCTTAGAAATTGAAAGTGTAGTAATACGAGCATGGTAACCACTTTATTTTGTTCCCCTGCTATCACTTCTATGCTTATTACTCAAGGCATTTTCAAATGGCTTACATGGCAGAGATAAAAATAAATATATTCCCACTGGTATGACTTCTAACAGTCAGCTAACAAATAGGCATTATGTAACTTGATATAGCTGCTCTTTGCCAGAACTGCACATTGGAAGGCCTTCCAACTGATCTTACATTGGAGAAGCCAACCCAGAATATGGGTCATTGTTTTATCTCTGGGGTTTATTCTTAATAGAATCTCTCTAAAAAGAATTTTCCCTGCTATAGTATTATGGAGTCATTTGTCTAAATGTCACTGATATTCCACAGATTGTGTAGTCAGCTGCTCCAAGTAAAGAAGGGAGATTGCCTTCTTGGATTGTAGCCTTGGCCATTTTTCCAGGTTGCTCACATGAAAGATGAATGAAATGACTGGAATTATGTCTTATGGAACCTTAAGGAATAGAGTAGGTACAAAACATTTTTGGAGGAGTATTCTAAATTAGTCTATTTTTGTTTCTTACCATTAAATAGTATTAAACATACCTTGAATTGTTTCTGTTCTGCTTTCAGTAATAACGATCTTGGTTCTTTTAAAAAGTGGATGAAACTCCAGATAACAAAATAATGATTACCTTGGGCTTCTTCTACAAATGTCTCAGCTGATTCTGCAATGTAATGTTTCACTGTAGACATGTCCATTTATTTTCAACCACACTTCACTCCCCTTTCACTTCTCTTCCTCCCTGTCTCATCTCATCTTCAATCAAAATAAATCTACCACCTATAGAAAAATAACACTGGACATAAATTGGACATTAATTCTAGGTTGGGTTCTTCAATAATCTAAGCTACAATGTATTTGATTTGATTTGATTTTTGCTTTGGCCTTTGTCAGGGTTATGTAATATTCTTTGAATGAAGTGGCACACCAGCACACCTTAAAAGTATTCAGGAAAAAGATAAGTAGATAGGTCAGGACAAAAAAATATTTTGATTTTATTAAATTAAATACCATTTGCATTCTTATTCCCTATATATTTCATGATTCTTCTTTTGGGATCTTGCAGTTTTTGACAAACTGCTAGGGTTGATGCCAAAGGTTTTTTTGTTTTTTTTCTTTCCAGTGAGGTTCATACAACAATGGAGCTTCAGACTGTACACTCTGGCATTATGATTGTAAGATGATAAATTTCACTGTCCTTTTCTTTTTCATATGTGATACTGCAACTGTTGGAGTGATTTTAGCTGCTAGTTTTATGAGAAAATAACGTCCATAATCAGGTATTATTTAAAGTTGGGACTCTGCTTTGTAGATTAGTCAGTGTTCCCCAACGTTTCTGGCTCCACAGACCAATGGAGGAGGCGGAGGTGGGGGGGGAGAGGGGATGGTTTCACATGTGTGCAGGCACTGCTTTCACAAATGCAGCTTCACATGTACACATACTGTTGCCCTCCACTTCAATGACCCTGTTCCAAATGGGCTGCGGCCCGGCATCGGGCCACTGACTGGGGGTTGGGGACTCCTGCCTTAGGTGCTGCATTATATTGACCTGCCTCTGTTTTTCTTATTGAATAAGCATTATCAGGAAGAAGTATCATCATATCCATTTTATGCTGATTTCAGATTAATTTAGGATAGAGATAAAAATAGAAAACAGAGTAGAGTGGAGTGGAGTGGAGTGGAGTGGAGTGGAGTGGAGTGGAGTGGAGTAGAGTAGAGTAGAGTAGAGTAGAGTAGAGTAGAGTAGAGTAGAATAGAATAGAATAGAATAGAATAGAATAGAATAGAATAGAATAGAATAGAATAGAATAGAATAGAGAGTTGGAAGGGAACTTGGAGGTTTTCTAGTCCAACCCCCTCTCAGGCAAGAAACCCTATACCATTTCAGACAAATGGTTGTCCAATCTCTTCTTAAAAATTTCCAATGTTGGAGTATTCACAACTTCTGGAGGCAAATTGTTCCACTGATTAATTGTTTTAACTGTCAGGAAATTTCTCCTTAATTCTAGGTTGCTTCTCTCCTTGACTAGTTTCTTGTCCTTCCCTCAAGTGCTTTGGAGAATAGATTGACCTCCTCTTCTTTGTGGCAGCCCCTGAGATATTGGAACACTACTATCATGTCACCCCTAGTCCTTCTTTTCATTAAACTAGACATGCCCAATTCCAGCAACTATTCTTTATATGTTTTAGCTTTCGGTCCCCTAATTGTCTTTGTTGCTCTTCTCTGCACTCTTTCTAGAGTCTCAACATCTTTTTTACACCATGGCAACCAAAACTGGATGCAGTATTCCAAATGTGGTATTACCAAGGTAAGTGGTATTAACACTTCAGATGATCTTGATTCTATCCCTCTGTTAATGCAGCCTAGAACTGTGTTGGGTTTTTTGGGAGCTGCAGCACACTGCTGGCTCATAGTTTGTCTGCTAGGATTCCAAGATTCCTCTCACAGTTACTACTATTGAGACCGGTACCACCTGTCTTGGCTAAATGTAGAACCATATTTTTTTCACCATTGAATTTCATTTTGTTAGATAGCACCCAATGTTCAAGTCTGTCAAGATCCTTCTGTATCTTGAGCCTATCTTCTGGAGTGTTGGCTATTCCTGCCAGCTTGGTGTCATCTGCAATTTTGATGGGTTCCCCATCTATCCCCTCATCCAAATCATTGATGAAAATATCAAAGAGTACTGGGTCTAAAACAGAGCCTTGGAGTACCCCACTGCATACTTCCCTCCATGTAGATGTAGTTCCATTGAGAACTACACGTTGAGTGTGGTTGGTCATTCAGTTATGAATCCATCTGGTGGTGATGCTGTCTAATACACATTTTCCATCTTATCAAGTTGTGGTCCACTTTAGCAAATGGCTTAGTGAAGTCCAAGTAAATTACATCCACAACAATCTTCTGGTCCATTAATTTTGTCACTTTGACAAATAATGCAATAGGTTTTGTCTAGCACAGGGCTGTCAAACTTGTGGCCCGTGAGCCAGATGCATCATGCGCTGGCCACACCCATGCCTGGTTTAGCAAATGGGGAAAAAGTCATGATATGTCACATGATGACGCTGTGATGACGCGAGTTTGACACCCCTGGTCTAGCATGACATTAGAACATTTATGAGTTTATTATTTATGTTTCTTTATTACTTCTTTTTCTTAGGCCAGAAAAAGATCTGGACTGCAAAAAAACTAGATAACCATTGGATGCTAGTAAAAAGTTAGTTTTCTGTATTTCTTTGCTGCCATCTAGTAGCCATCTTGATGTCTGAAAATTTGGTAGTCCTATTGCTTGTATACCAACAGAGTAATGAATTTGGTCTTTTTTGATTGACATCTTGAACAGACTTATTACTATCTTTGTCACAGAATAAAGCAAATTCAGGATTTCAAACCTGCCTTGAAATCCAGATTTTATCCAGAGATGATAAAGCTAAGCAAATTGTAGCTTGAGGGTTTGTCATTTGCTTAACTGTACATCCTCAGAGGGACTTAAACAGGTATCAAATCTTTTACAGTATCTTACTGTAACATAAAACCAGGAACTAGGTAATACTAAGAGCACAAGATTCTAAAAGATTCAGAGCATGCCAGTTTAATTCAAGCAAAAAGGGCTTTCATGTTTCAGTGAATACACTAGGGCAGAGCTGGCTACCACCTTTGATGTTTCTTCTAAATCTTAGCTTAATGGAGATGGTGCCAATCACTTATTTGATAGCACAAAAATATCCATCTTGCAATATTTTGGTAACATACAGTTCCAGGCTTAGAGAATTCCACCACATCAGGATCAGCTGGCAGTTTGCACTAGCAACTGGCTCATTCATAAAAGTTATTGATTTCTGGCTTATCTGCAAAGGACATTTCTTACCAGCAAATAAGAAACTGAACTTGAATACACAGAGTTGATATTCTTTGATTTCTCAAAAACTAGCATTTAGATCAATGGCCAAAATACTATTAGACATTTTCAAGGAAAAACTCACAAGAATTGTACATATTAATTACCAATCTTTCTTTTTGCTAGAGAAGCACTTTATTTGCAACAATAATTCTCTATATTTTTAAAATAAAATTCATGAATAATTACAGGTGGTACTATATATATAAATTATTTGCTATCTCAGTAGGCACAAATCAAAATAACTTTCCAAAATTTGCACTGACAAAATTGAACAGATTTTTAACAGGGCATAAAGAGGACTAGAGTTTCAACCTCAGAGAATTCTAGACCATAGAATTTGAGCAGCAATGTCATCATATCTGCAAAAGTCCCAAATAGTTTGCTGAAATTTTAATGAAATAGAAGTTCAGTGCAACATTCCCTCCTAAATTCTAATGCCCATCTCCCCAAACTATCTTTTGGGGGGGGGGTAAAGTTTTTTTTATTTTTTACACAAACACACACACAAACATACAATGTATTTTTGCTGAACAGAGTATTCAGCTGGTTAACAAATTTAAACAATTTTTACTCCTTTCAATTAAAATTACAATTTCTATGTCTCCTTTTTTGCCATAACATTTATTTTCATCTATTTTGTACCAATATTACCCTTCATTTTCATCTCTAATTTTGATCAAATTCCATTTTCCTTTCTATTCTATATTAAACCCTTTCCCATTATCATCTAATTTTTATATCCATCATCAAATTAATTAATTATGTGGTGTTAGTTATTTAATTCTTATATTAATAATAAACCCACTTATTTTATAACATACATTTCCTTAACTAATACAATCCAACATTTTAATATAAATCAATTGATTATATAGATATCTTTTTCATTTATATATGAACCAGAAGAAGAAAAAAAAACCTTAATTGAATTTAAAAATATTCTAACTATTATCCTCTAATCATATAGCTTCCCCCTGTATTATTCCAAATCATCACTTAATCATTTATACACACACCACCGTAAACCATTAAAAACATTTCAATTATTATTCCAATTATTTTTCAATTCATTTTCACCATCACATGATTTAACATTTTTTACTACAATTCATATTTCAATTCTAGTCATATACATCATATTCCTCTTTCATTTCTTTCCTATTTTCCCTTTCCCTTTTTATTTTTACCTTTTTCTTTCCCCTTTTTTCCTTTTGTGCCTTAAAATCCTGATCTCTCCTGTTTTGCCCTATATTTCCCATTGTTCCCCCTCTCTTTTCCCTTTTTTTGTTTCACCACTGTTTATCCCACTATTTATCCCAGTATTATCATTTTGTTTTTCAAAGTCCTGAACTCTTCTATTTTGCCCTATATTTCCTGTTATTTTCCACCCCTTTTCTCTCTTTTTTATCTTTTCACTGTAAATCCCAGTGTAATCATTTAAGTTCTTTATATTCTTTCTGTTCCATCCTTCCTTCCTTATTTGTCTCTTTCCATCCTCTTTATTTTTTCCATTGTTAATCCCAATGTAATCTCTAAAAACCTCCTTTTGACCGGAAGTGTCGTGGCGAGACAGTCAGGGAATTAGTGGGCTCTGATAAGATCCGCAAAAACCCAGACTGATGAACTGCTGCCAAGGGTCTTGGGACCAGAACTGTCCTGTAGGGACTGGTAAGAAGGAGAGGCACCTCGGAAGACCAAGAGGAACAGGCAAGTTCCTCGAAGGTCAGAGGAAACTCTCTATGACTCAGTGGCAGGGGACGGCAGCCATTGCGGCTGTCACAAAGCTGGGGCAACTGGACTAAGCATTGAGCAGGAGTGATGAATGGAACAGAGTTTTTTGAAGCTGAGTGAGTGACAACTAACCCATGGTTGAAACAACAATAAGGGGGAAAAAATTAACTTTAAGACCCCTATCGATAAAACAGCAGCTAATGAGCACGGGGGAAAGAAAAGAAGATTTTGAAGCATAATCTTAAAGGGACAAAAACCCAATGGAAAATTGACTTTTGAACAAAATTATTTGGAAATAATTTGGAAAATTTTAAGTAACTACAGAAATTGCCCCAAGATTGGTTAAAGGATCGGAAAGAAATAAATAGATCCTTTTTTTCCCCTTTCTTTTTTGAATTTCAAGAAAAACAAAAGAGAATGGACAATAAGCCCTATAACAGAAGTGTTGTATAAATAAAAGGAAAAAAAGGAAAAAAGAAGTGAGAAGAGAATTTAAATTCAGACTGGACTATAAAACTGATTTGATATTTTTAAAGCTAAAAAGAAAAAGAGAAGCTAAGTAAGATTGTTAATGTAGATTGAAACAAAATGGATATTTGTTAGACAATCAGAAATTGTGGATTGCAAAGAGATACCTTTAGGAGTAAAAAGGAATATTGCAACTTGGTCTTTGTTTTGGAAAATTGTGAACTTTACAGATAAGAGCCGTGAGAATTTTTGGGGAGGATTTCTTTGTCTGCAAGCAGCTTGACTTTGGGGGGAAAAAAGGAATACAATGGAACTTTTAAAATAAGAATAATATTAACTCAAAAAGAATAAAATGGCGCAGGAAATTAGAGAAATGAATAAATCGATGTACTTGTCATAGAAAATGGAAATAAGAGAAATAACTACAATGTTACACGGAGGATTAAAATCTGAGGACACAAAAGCTGAGATGGAGCATATGCAAACGGACAAGGAACTGAAGATGGAGAAGCAAGACATAGAGGCTGAAAATAAAGAAGATAAAGACAATGTGATTAAATATGAAGAAGTAACTGAACATGTGGATAGTAATAATAAAAAGGAGGTTTTTAGAGATTACATCTCCCAAAACTATCAATAGTGGCATCCATGTTGGTCAAAAAAAAAGTCAAGAAGATGGCTACAACAACAAAAAAGGACAGCGTTTTGATTGTATGATTAAGGCCACCATCTTCATGTTTTTTACACTGCCCCTATGCCCCTGATTACCAAATCTGTTAATTTTGTCTTTATTTTATTTTTCCTATGCTATAATTTAGTTTACAATTATAAAATGACCCAGGGGTTCACAATTAAACAAAAATATCAGATGGTAATAAATAAGATAGCAGTTAAGACAAGATCTACAAAGTCAATGCAGTCAGAATGGCTGAGGGCTTTGTTTGTGTGTGTTTCAGTTAACGTTCTCTGTTCTTCAGTAATAAATGTTTATGACCCCTGAGTATGTTCAGTCCTTGTAATCTCTTTTCCCCATTTTTCCCAGTAATTTTAAATTTTTGCAAACCTTTGTATTTCTCCCAAGCTGTTAATATGCAGGAATGGTGCCATTTTGGCTCATGATCCACAATCATCTATTAACATTTAAAACCAAGTAATGCATGAGGTTTAGTGCATGGTTGGATAACTTGCTTTCCTAGGACTACATCTTTAATTCTGTATCTCTTTGACTTGGTGCAAAGTGCCCTCTGTAAGCAATTAATTCAGACCTCTAGCAAGAACAATCAGACCTGGGAGGAAAAAATTGGAAGAGAGACAAAGAAAAAGTGCCAGTAAGAAAGAGAAGAAAAAGAAATGTCACAAAAAGAGAATGAATGGCTTAAATATTTTAGCTGTAGCCTTGCTCTTTACTTATACAAACACCAATGCTATAGATTTTGGGTGGACCTTCTAGAGAACAATTTGTCTTTGGAGTAAATCCTAAACAATTGGGAGACAGGATGAATGGACCAAGTTTTCTACTAATATCAGACTACTTAGTTAAAAAATTTCTGCAAATTGTAGTTGAGCACTAATAAAGCACATGGATACAAGTTAACACCAAAAATAGTCACTCAACATTAATGAGATCTGAACTGAAGTGACTATTTGAACGAGCAACCAAATTAACGCCTTTTATTATGGTCACAAACCAGTACTATTGTATATATAGTATTTTATACAGTATGGCAGAACTTAGAAGAAATATTTAAAACAATTCTAAAAACAAGTTATTTTTTAAAAAAGTTTAGAAATTAAAATAGTCTATAAATACAAGTATTAGATTTCTGAAGTCTAAATACTTGAACTAAATTTCTAAATTATAAAATTGTATTGTGAGTAAAATACTAAATGACTAAAATGTATTATTAGTATACTAAATAACACTAAAATATTCATTTAATAAGCTACTAAAATATTCCAAAATTAAATACTTGAAATATCAGACTCATAATCCATTGATCTAACATTTTATTGCCAGTACAAGTTAAGTTTAGTGAAAGTTCTACTTTCAAAAATCCTTAACTTATTAAATTTTGTGCTCCTTCCTATAACAATTTATTTATTTATTTATTTATTTATTTATTCAACTTGTATGCCGCCTTTCTCCAAAGACTCAAGGTGCTTACAATGCATTTAAAAGCCATATATAAAAACATTAAAAATTAAAACATTAAAAACAATTAAAACCCATTCACACCATTCATGACTGGATCTTGCCAGATCGCAACAGCGAGATCAACGGCCCCAGGCCT